GGGGGGGGGGGGGGGGGGATAACATTTAGGGGGGGAGGGGATTAACCCCCGAGAGGAGCTTTACACTCATGGTCCTGGAGTCATTCAACGAGCCTTCTCTTGGGTCCATAGTGAGTCCGCTGGTGCTTGGCCACGTTGGATTGGTTGGAGAAGCACTTGCCGCACTCGGGGCAGGGGTAGGGCTTCTCGCCGGTGTGGACCACCTGATGCTTTATGAGGTTGGACTTGATGGCGAAACCTTTGCCGCACTCGGCGCACAGGAAGGGTTTCTCCCCCGTGTGGATCCTCTGGTGCTTGACCAGGTTGGATTTGCTGGTGAAGCCCTTGCCACAGTCCGCACAGCAGAACGGCTTCTCCCCCGTGTGGATGATCTGGTGTTTGACCAGGTCGGAGCTGCTGGTGAAACACTTCCCGCACTCGGTGCACGCGTAAGGCTTCTCCCCGGTGTGAATGCGCTGGTGCGCCACCAGGTTGGTGTTGGTGGAGAAGCACTTTCCGCACGAGGAGCAAGGGAAAGGCTTCTCGCCGGTGTGAGTCCTCTGATGCGCCACCAGCTCCGAATTACACGTGAACTCCTTCCCGCAGTCCGGACAGGCCACCACCCGCCCCGAGTGCATGCGCCGATGCTTGACGATCCCCGACTTGCTGGTGAAGGTCTTGCCGCACAGTGCGCAGTCGAACAGCTTCCTCGCCGCCTCCCGAGGAGCCAAGGCCGAATTGGCGGCAAAGATGGAGTCGTAATCCACCCGCACGAAGCCGGCGGGGGAGGGTTTGGTGCGGCGGTCCTCCGGTTCGTCCTTCACAAAGCCGAGCGTCAAGTCGGTCTGCGTCTCCTCGGAGCGCGTGCGGATGTTCCAGCCATGGAGGTTCTTATGGAGGACTGAACCCAAATGACGGGGCATCTTAGTAGCCCCTCCTCTCATTGATGGGCTGTTAGAAGGAGGGGCCAGGCCTGAGGAGGAAAGCCTCCATTTGTTCCTACAAGCTGAAGCGAGGTACGGGAGCCTGTACAGGGCCCAGTGGGTCTACTTCTGAAGGGACGGTGCCCATAAAACCAGAGCGACCCCCAATCTACGGGACATCTTAGTAGCCCCTCCTCTCATTGATGAGCTTTTAGAAGGAGGGGCCAGGCCTGAGGAGGAAGGCCTCCATTTGTTCCTACAAGCTGAAGCGAGGTACGGGAGCCTGTACAGGGCCCAGTGGGTCTACTTCTGAAGGGACGGTGCCCATAAAACCAGAGCGACCCCCAATCTACGGGACGGGACATCTTAGTAGCCCCTCCTCTCATTGATGCGCTGTTAGAAGGAGGGGCCAGGTCTGAGGAGGAAGGCCTCCATTTGTTCCTACAAGCTGAAGCGAGGTACGGGAGCCTGTACAGGGCCCAGTGGGTCTACTTCTGAAGGGACGGTGGCCATAAGACCCGAGCGACCCCCAATCTACGGGACATCTTCCATGGCGATACGTGGATCGTACCACAACACACAGCAGGGTGGTTGGCACGTCTGGTCTTTACCTTGGAAGGGCTCCATCATGTCCTCCATGGCACTTCCGGCCCCTCTCCCCAAATGTTCCCACTCCTCCATGGAGAAATTCAAGGTGACGTCTTGGTTGTCCTGAGGAACCTGAGACACACAATGATACCGTCACCACCCGGGCACACCCCTCATCCGGTACCGTCCCAGAATCCCCAGCACCGCTCACCTCCCCCGCCAGCAGCTCGATGATCTGATTGGTCAGTTCCAGGATCTTCTGCTTGTTGTTGCTCTCTTGGATCAGTGATCGCGGTGGGAGCGTTGAGATGGGGCTCGGGGTACGTCCACCCAAACCATCGGAGAGGCTGAAGCCCCCGGCCTGGTCACCTGACCTCTTCACCACCATGTAATTCTGAGAATGAGACCACATGGACCACATCACACAGAGAAGAAGACCTCAGTACATGGGTGACCTGGTCCTAGTATGCAAGAGTCATGTGACCTCCCAGAATCCTCCTCACCTCTCCGGTCATGTGACCTCCCAGAATCCTCCTCACCTCTCCGGTCATGTGACCCCCCAGAATCCTCCTCACCTGTCCGGTCATGTGACCCCCAGAATCCCCCTCACCTCTCCAGTCAGGTCATGTGACCCCCCCAGAATCCTCCTCACCTTTCCAGTCAGGTCATGTGACCTCCCAGAATCCCCCTCACCTCTCCAGTCAGGTCACGTGACCTCCCAGAATCCCCCTCACCTGTCCGGTCATGTGACCCCCAGAATCCCGCTCACCTCTCCAGTCAGGTCATGTGACCTCCCAGAATCCCCCTCACCTCTCCAGTCAGGTCACGTGACCTCCCAGAATCCCCCTCACCTGTCCGGTCATGTGACCCCCAGAATCCCGCTCACCTCTCCAGTCAGGTCATGTGACCTCCCAGAATCCCCCTCACCTCTCCAGTCAGGTCACGTGACCTCCCAGAATCCCCCTCACCTGTCCGGTCATGTGACCCCCAGAATCCCGCTCACCTCTCCAGTCAGGTCATGTGACCTCCCAGAATCCCCCTCACCTCTCCGGTCATGTCATGTGACCTCCCAGAATCCTCCTCACCTCTCTGGTCAGCTCATGTGACCTCCCAGAATCCTCCTCACCTCTACGGTCAGCTCATGTGACCTCCCAGAATCCCCCTCTCCAGTCAGGTCATGTGACCTCCCAGAATCCTCCTCACCTCTCCGATATCATGTGACCTTCCAGAATCCTCCTCACCTCTCCGGTCAGGTCATGTGACCTCCCAGAATCCCCCTCTCCGGTCAGGTCATGTGAGCTCCCAGAATCCCCCTCACCTCTCCGGTCAGATGTCATGTGACCTCCCAGAATCCCCCTCACCTCTCCGGTCAGATGTCAGGTGACCTCCCAGAATCCCCCTCACCTCTCCGGTCAGATGTCAGGTGACCTCCCAGAATCCCCCTCACCTCTCCGGTCAGCAGGCAGATGATCTCCAGGGTCAGGTTGAGTATCCTCTCGGGAAGGTGCCCCCTGTCCATGGTCGGAGGGGGGAGGGGGGATATTCTGAGTCTTCTTCCTGTAGGATATAGAAGTAGAGGAAGTGAATGGTCTCGGGGGAGGAGCTGTCATGGTACATTCTGTCCTCCTCTTGAGGTATTAGCAGTAGAAGGTTTTGAGATGTCTCGGAGTCAGGTGGGTGGTCCCGGGCTATT